GTGTGTGTCTGACCTTGTAAGCGAGTGTTTTGCGGTCGTCTCCGTCCAGTATGAATCCATCATTCATATCGTCAGCAGAGATGTGCATGTTGGTCTGAACAGCCTCTTCCTCAGCGTCTCCCATCATCCTCTTCAGTCTGTTGGCCTGAAACACAAACACACATCAGTGAGGTCCTCCTCCTCCTCCTCCTCCTCCTCATCCTCAGGTGTACGGCAGCAGGAGCTCAGTACCTCCAGAGTCTGCAGGCGCTGTTTCTCCTCTCGAGCGAGCTCCTCCGCGCTCTTCAGCTTCTCTGACGGTTGAGCCTTCATCTCGAAGCCCAGCTCTCGCACAGTCATGTCATACTCGTCCAGCTGACACACACACACACACACACACACACACGTGTCAGAGTGAGGAACAGCAGCACACGCTCAGAAGCAGCATCAGTATTTGGACGCAGGTGCTTCAGTACCTTGGGTTTGTCCGTCTCGTCCTTCCTCTCTGCTTTGGGGGTTTTGTGGGCCAGAAGGTTCTGGATGGATTTCCACTCCTGATCCAGTTTCTCCGTGAGCTCCTGCGCCTCCTCCTTCTGCGTCTGACGCTCGCGCTGAGAACATCAAGAGAGTCAGCATTAAAGAACCGCTCACAACCATAAAGTTTAATAATCACTCTAACTCTACTACTATAACAATAACAACGAGGAACGATATTGTTGGACTCACTTTTAGACCTTTTATTTCTCCAGCTGATGAATGATAAAAACACTCATCAGAATATTCTCAACTAGAGAGCTTGAGCAGTAACGGTGGCAGACGACAAAACATTGATAATATCGTTTATTGTTATCATTACAAATATTGTTACAATTATTGTTACAGTTGTCATTATAGTTATGGTTACAGATGTTATATTTATTGTTACAGCTATTGTTAGCTATAGTTAACGTAACAGCTCTCATTATACTTATCAGTTATCGTTACAGCTGTCATTATAGTTATTGTTACAGATGTTATAGTTATAATCACAGTTGTAGTTATTGTTACAGCTGTCGTTATTGTTACAGATGTTGGTATAGTTATGGTTACTGTTATAGTTATTGTTACAGATGTTATAGTTATTATACAGCTATCCTTATAGATATACAGTTCTTGTTCTTGGTGTGATGATGTTTAAGGATGAGACAGGATGATGTTTAATCACGGTAAAGTAACATTTTATTATTTGAGGACACACTTTCTGACCTTCTCCTGTTTGGACTTGATAATGAGCTCCTCGATCAGCTCCTGCCGTGATTTGGGCTTGTGTTCTCCGTCTTCATCTCCAGCGCTCTTCTTCCTCAGCAAACCTCCACCGCCGCCGAAATGTGTGGCGGTCAGTTCAGCTGCAGACACATGCATCATCACATCAGTTACTGACCGTAACAATGAATGACTATTGATTACTGATGATCATTCATGTTTAAATGCCTCACCTGACAGCAGGCCCTTTTCTTCAGAGTCACTGTCGCTGTCGATCACATCCGTCATCTTCTCCATCTCCGCCAGAGACTGGCCGTAATGGGTCAGCTCCTCTTCCTCATTCAGATTATACATGTCCTTCCTGTCTTGAGTGCGCTACACACACACACACACACACAGAGACACACACAGAGACACACACAGAGACACACACCCATCAGTGATGATCAGTAATTCTGCAGTACATGCTACAGATATTGTAATATGTTACAGATGTTATTGTTGTTGTTACAGATATGGTTAGATATAGTTAACGTTACAGCTGTCGTTATAGTTACAGCTGTAGTTATCTTTCCAGATGTTAACGTTATCATCACAGCTGTCGTTATTGTTACAAATGTTGGTATAGTTTAGGGCTGTCAAAATGAATGAAAAACTAAATTTGAATTTTGTACTTAAATATTATCAAAATTTGAATTATATTCGAATTTAAAATGCATAATTTCAGTTAGGGTGAAAAAAAGCTTTTGGCTTCTCTCCTGAAGCCACAAGAGGGCGCATCGAGCAAAATATTACTAATGCACGTTTATTCAAAGCATAAGAACAAAAAGTGCATAATGTTTAAAGTAATGTTTATAAACCAATTATAATTAATTAAGTTGCTTAAACAACTACAAACAAAACAGCATCATGTATGTATGCATGAATTATATTCGAATTTAAAATGCATAATTTCAGTTAGGGTGAAAAAAAGCTTTTGGCTTCTCTCCTGAAGCCACAAGAGGGCGCATCGAGCAAAATATTACTAATGCACGTTTATTCAAAGCATAAGAACAAAAAGTGCATAATGTTTAAAGTAATGTTTATAAACCAATTATAATTAATTAAGTTGCTTAAACAACTACAAACAAAACAGCATCATGTATGTATGCATAGTTTAATACAAAGGGCGGAAAGCCAATCACACGGAGTACATTTTTCATTTAAAAACAGTTGCAGTCGGATCGGATCGGATGGGGAAAAACCCGCCATAAAGTCTTGATATATGTTTTTTTAAAGTTGAACTTACATAAATTTTACATGGCTTTCTAAACATGCGGCTCTTTTGTGAGAGATACGAGTGCAACGCTGATAGATGTCTCTCTAGAAAATGCGTGAAATATGTGTTCTGTGTGAACGGCTTGGTCTCAGTTTTCAACATCGTAAACAACAACATCTCCGCATTGATGTTATCTTTTCCCGCAATATTTGTAATGAACAACGCAGCAGCGCTGCATCTACTGGATAGACAAACAAAAACATTATAATGCAACGACACTTACATCGTCATCGCATCTTGTGCGCCGCTGATAAAGCTGCCTGATGCACACCTAAAATTCTGGATTTTGAATGTGGATTTTTATTCTAAATTCGACGAACATTCGAAATTTGAAAAAAAAAATTGACAGCCCTAGTATAGTTATAGTTACAGTTATCGTTACATATGTTATAGTTATTATCACAGTTGAAGTTATTGTTACAGCTGTCATTACTGTTACAAATGTTGGTGTATATAGTGACAGTTACCGTTACAGCTGTCGTTATTGTTACAAATGTTGGTATATAGTGACAGTTACCATTACAGCTGTCGTTATTGTTACAAATGTTGGTATATAGTGACAGTTACCATTACAGCTGTCGTTATTGTTACAAATGTTGGTATATAGTGACAGTTACCATTACAGCTGTCGTTATTGTTACAAATGTTGGTATATAGTGACAGTTACCGTTACAGCTGTCGTTATTGTTACAAATGTTGGTATATAGTGACAGTTACCGTTACAGCTGTCGTTATTGTTACAAATGTTGGTATATAGTGACAGTTACCGTTACAGCTGTCGTTATTGTTACAAATGTTGGTATATAGTGACAGTTACCGTTACAGCTGTCGTTATTGTTACAAATGTTGGTATATAGTGACAGTTACCGTTACAGCTGTCGTTATTGTTACAAATGTTGGTATATAGTGACAGTTACCGTTACAGCTGTCGTTATTGTTACAAATGTTGGTATATAGTTA